AGTTCGACTTCCTTAAAATCTTCCACCCACCCCTTAGAAAGGAAGAATCTGTCAATACGAGTAGCCACTGGGTTAATTCTGCCATCAGACCATGTGTATAAGCCATTCTTCATTGGGACGTCAACTAGATTCAACCCCATTGTTAGTTTTTCAACACCATCCTTCAAGGGGGCGATCTACCTTTTTTTTTAATTATTTTTTGTGTGTGTTTTTTTTAAACACCCTCCCTGCGCGACCCAACCCCTATCTCTGCCTCCCCTCCCTCTCGACATTCACCTTCACGGGCTTCAAGCCTTCACCACCATCAATCTCCGCCGTTGCTTGTCTTTATTCGGAACTAAACTTATAGAATTTGGTTGTTTTATGTATCTTATTGACATTTACTATTTTGGTATTAATTTTTTTAAGGTAATTTATGCACTATATATATAATTTTTACTTATTTATTAAGGTGCGACTCCCTTCAATCGGGCGTCGCCTTTGTATTGCCTCTCGCCTCAAGGCGATCAAAGGGTTTGTCGCCTTGCGGTGCGCCTTGCACCTCAAAAACACTGGGCAGTTGTTGGATTTCTTACATATTTATCATAAATATTAGTTATTCATATTTATGTTAATATTTATGCTTTTAACTTTTTCCTTATTTATGTGGTTTGTCTGAAAAAAATATTTATATGTCTTCCTTATATATAAGAAGATTTTGTATTTGATTAAATAGACAGAAGAAATATAACATTTTTATTTCTTCCCAAAATTCTAATTGGTATCAGAGCTAGAAAAATAAAACCCTAATTTCAGACACCATCTAACCCCAGTCACCAAAATTGCCACCTCAGCCGCTACCAATTCAGAACCATAGCTTCTAATACTACTACACCAAAATCCTAGCATCTGCATTCATACAATGCAATTCTAGAAAAGGTCTTTGTTTGCAAGGGAAGGTGTTTGTGCTCATGTGGTTGTTCTTTGCCAAGGGTTGTGTTCTCTTTGTCGAGATTTGTTGTTTGTTGCATTCGCAGAGTTCATCCATGATCGAAGATGTCTATTCCCCATTGTTAGTTTATGACTACCGTTTTGGTGTCTACCTCCCGCCAATTCAAATAGTGACAGGTTCGTGGATTCGTTGGCAGATTTTTTGCTCAAATTTATATGAGTACAAATATCCACAAATACAATCACATGCCCAATTACCCAATTCTCTATCGAATAAACCTCCATCTTTTGATGCCTAAACAACTTATTTGTTCCACAAAATATATGTGAAGCTTTAGATGATCCAAATTAAAAAAACTAGCAATTATGGAGGAGATGAACGTTCTAAGCATGAGTATGAAGCTTTAGATGATCCAAATTGGAAACTAGTAATTATGGAGGAGATGAACGTTCTAAGCATGAGTGGTACATGGGAAATAACATACCTACCAACATATAACAAAATAGAAGGATCCAAATGGGCGTTTACCGTAAAATACAATGTTGATGGTAGAATTGAAAGATACAAGGCTAGACTAGTAGCTGAAGAGTGAAGGCTTTACGCAAACTTATGGGATTGAATACCAAGAGACTTTATCCTACCTCATAAACGACAATGAATCCCACCTCGTTACTAAGAGACTTTTGCTCATGTTGCTAAAATTAACTCCATCGTAATTCTTTATCTCTCACAAAAAACCTAGATTGGCCACTTCATCAATTAGATGTGAAAAACGTTTTTCTCAATGGTGATCTGGAAGAAGATGTGTTTATGAGTCTGCCACCAAGATTCAAGAAGGAGCTCGAAAATATTAAAGTTTACAGATTAAAGAAGTCATTATATGGTCTCAAACGGTCTCCAAGAGCTTGGATTGAATGCCTTGAATAAGTAGCTAATAGGTATGGATACCTTTCGAGTCAAGCAGACCGCGCCATCTTTTACAAACATTCTAAGAATAACAAAATTACAATCTTAATGATTTACAAACAATCTTTTACAAACATTCACGATGCTCAGACGGCTTTTGTAGAAAAGCGACAGATTCTTGATGTTATTTTAGTAGCTTCTGAATCAGTTAGCTACTGGAAAAAGGAGAAAAAACAGAGCTACCTCTTAAAACTTGATTTTGAGAAGGCTTATGATAAGGTCGATTGGTCTTTCTTAGATGCAGCGCTTCAGGCGAAAGGCTTTGTAGTCAGATGGCAGATGTGGATTTGGGGCTGTCTCTCGACCACAAACTTCTCAATTATTGTAAACGGAAGACATAGAGGGAAGATTTTGGCAAAGAGGGGTCTTAGACAGGGAGATCCTCTCTCTCCCTTTCTTTTCACCATAATGGGAGATGCCTTCAGTAGGTTAGTTCATTTTTGCTACGAAAGGAACATCCTAAAAGGTCTCACTATAGGCCAAAATTCTATAGAGGTAACACACCTTCAGTATGCAGACAATGTACTGATTTTTAGCCCTTATTCTCCTAAGATGATGGAAAATTGGTGGGGTCTGATTCAAATTTTCCTTACTATGACGGGGCTTTCATTAAATGTTGCTAAAACTGCAGTGATAGGAATTAATTGTAGCGAGGCAGATGTGAATTTTTTTGCCTCTGTTTTTGGGTGTAAGGCAGAATTCTTTCCCTTCTCCTATCTTGGTTTCTTTCCCTTCTCCTATCTTGGTTTCCCTCTTGGAGGAAATCATTGAATGCCAATCTATTGGGAAGCAGTGGTGGACAAAATGCATAAGAGACTAGAAAAATGGAGATCTTTGTTGCTATCAAAGGGGGGTCGATTAACTCTAGCACAAGCAGTTTTGAACAGCATCCCGATCTATTTTTTTTCAATCCTAAAAGCTCATAAGTCGATGATCTCAAGTCTCGACCATGGAGAAAAATGTCAATGATATCATCCTCACAAGTAATGATGAAGCAAGTTTGGTTCATACTAAGAAACTTAGCGAGTGGATTTCATATTAAAGACCTAGGAAACTTAAAATACTTCTTAGTAATGAAGTTTGCGAGATCTAAAAAAGGTATCTTTGTCAGTCTAAAGAAATATGTTCGACTTACTTCAAGAGACATATTTACTTGGTTTCAAAATAGGAAAAACTTCTATCAAACCTAATTTAAAATTAGAAGTTGAAAAGCTAAAGAAGTAAAGGACAGGGATCAATATTGGAGAATTTTGGGAAGACTAATCTATCTATCTCACACATGGTCACATGGATACAGTATTTGCAGAGGTATCATGAGCCAATTCATGCACTCTCAACTATGTATAGAATCTCGAGCGTTTAAAAGAAATCTCAAGTAAAGGTATATTATTCAAGAAACATAATCATCTTCAAGTTGAAATTTATATTGATGCAAATTGGGAAGAAAGTACTACTAATAGAAGACCTAATTCTAGTTACTATTCTTTTGTTGGAGGAAATTTAGTTACATGTAGTAGCCAAAAGTAGTGTGATGCAAAATTTGGAGCCTTAGCCCATGGAATTAGAGGTTTGCTTTCCTCTTTTTTCTTTTCTTTTTTTTTAAGTTCATATTATTTATGGAATCTATGGCTGGAAAGGAATCATAGACTTTTTGAAGATTCTTCTTTAGATTTCCAAGTTTTGTGGAGTAATGTACAGCTCACTACTTCTAGGTGGTACTATAGCTTTAGCAAATTCTTTGGTAACTACTCCCTTTGTTCTATCCTTCAGAATTGGAAGGCTTTCGTGACTTATCTCCTTTTTGGGGAGGGGTTCTCTCTACCCTTGCCCTTCGGCTGTTCTCTTTTGTGATTAATATATTTTCTCTCTGTTTCTTATCAAAAAAAAAGTTCATATCATTTATGAAATGAATTTTTTTTCTCATCAAAAATAAAAATAAAAAAGAAAGAAAGAAAAGGAACCATAATGATCTTTACATTAGGGAACACGACAAAATGCAATGATGACTATTATTAAGAAATTTGAAGGGAAACAAATCAATGAATTTTATAAGACAAAAATAGAGAGATGGAATACATTCAGGAGCGAGCTAGCTTTTCTACTTCTAGGAAGCATACTATCTCTAAATTTCCTTACGTTATGATTTCTTTGTGAATGCCAACTTTAGATCTTTCTGCTAAACCCATTCAGCCTTAGGGTGGATGTCTATTCCATCCTATTAGGTTTTCTTTTATCTTCTTTGTTTCTTAATGAGAATGATTTCTTATCAGGAAAAAAAAAAAGAAAAATAAGTTGTTGACATTTTCAAAATTATTAAAACAATTGGGACAAATGATTATCAAGTTGAGACTAGAATGTTTGAATATCATAAATACCTTCAATTTCAGTGACCTCGTGAAAAATTTACTCTAAATGAGTCTCTCCTAATTTCATTAGATTGGGGTTGAGTTCTTTCTAAATAGGGACCAGACCGATGTATGGGTATTGCTAGTTACTATCTTCTACTTGGATTATTGTTATTTGATCAGCTTCCATTAAGAGAAACAAAGTACAAAAGAAGAAACCTACAAGAAAGAATAGTCAGTCCAGCCAGGAGCTCGCAAAAGTAAAATTAAGGATAGCCCTCTTGTGTTCAAGGTAGATTTAGTCCCAAACTGAAATTAAAAAAAATAATTATTCAATTCTCTAAAAAGTACACATGTCCACACAAAGTTACTCAACGTCATGCAGATTACAAACAAGACCAAAGTAACAGGAAAAGGTAAATATTTTCAAGAGCAAAAGACAACCTGGAATGTTGCCAATTCTTTTCTCATGGTTCAAAATTTCATTCGCCTCCAACATCTGTCATTGATTTTAGAAACAAGAAAAAAGGCAAGAGTGAGGAGGCATTAAATATAATAAAAAACTCAGCATAATCATGCTTGCGTAATTACGTTTTTTAGACAAGAAAGTCTGAATCATCATCCTACACTTCTCTTTCCTAAACCTGGTATGTGTAAGAACTGTTTACAAGATCAGTGATAAGAACCAAACGACTGAAATGATATTAAAAGATAATGAGAATAAAAATTACATGCCCCAAGTATTCAAGGAATTTATAACCTCCCTCTTGAGTTTCCTCTAGTCTAAACAAACTACACTACTTCCTATGTTAGAGTTAAACAATGCTAAACTCAAAAACTTAAGCTAATAGGTTACAATATATTTAATCATTTATCAATACACTCCTCCACTCGTAAACTTGGAAATCTGCACAAAGCCCAGCAAATGGTTATCAATATTAATTGGAGAGGAAATAACATTATAAGCATTTAAACACAATATCTTCTGCTTTAATACCATGTTAAATTACTACTGAGCCCAAAACTTGAGCAAATAGGTCCCATATGTTTAATTATTTATCAATACTTTAACAATCTACCTTCCTTTCCTCTCATTCACAATATTAATAGTCAACTCCTACTAATAGACTATTGCTTGATTACTTATATGCCAATAATAACCTAAAAGAATTTCTAATAACCCCAACGGCATTCTCAATTGGGTCCACTTTTTCATTATACTTTTGCTTGTGATGTCTTTATCAAATCACCAAGATGTTTCGACTTACAATGGTGTTTCCACAAATTAGTAATGGAACCATACTCCATGTAATTGCAGGCAAAAATTAAATGGTAAAGCAAAGTGCTTTGGTATAATGCATTAAAGGGCCCAAAGGCTATGCTTGGAGAGATTGGGTGAAGAGAGAGAGAGAGAATTTTCAAAGACCTAAAAGACTTAGATAACATTTCGGAGCTTGCCGAATTTTTAGATCAAACAACTTATTTTTATTGAAAAGCCAACTTTCATCAGGATGAATGAAAGTACAAAAACAACCCAAAACTAGAAGGTTGACCAAAAGCAGATTAAATAAGAAGCAAAGAGGCCCCAACAACCTCATACTTCAAAAGCAAAAAAGACACAACAACCTCATACTTCAAAAGCAAAAAAGACACGACCAGAGGATGGGATTAAAATGTTTTGCATCAGAGCTACAAAGAACAGATCAATTTAGACCAAAAACAAAAGCAGGTGCTTTCTGTTAAGGTTTTAAGCTTTTAATCCTCCCCAAGACTACTCTCCCAAGAAAATTTGAATCATTTTGAGGGAAATCCATTGAATATGAAGGAGGTGAAATCAACCAAAAGTAGAAATACTTGGAAGTGAATACTCCGTACGAATTAAGACACCACGTTCATGAATACTACAACCTAAATAAAAAATAAGGATTGGATAAACGATAAAAGGGAGGCGAGCTCATCCAACCTAGATGAAGGAAAACTCTCTAAACAAAAAGTAAAAGAAGGGGACTCTCCCCTAAAAAAAATAACAGAGGAAATCAAAGAATTTATAGATAGGGCTACATAATAAAGAACAAGAAACTACGACCTAAAGGAAACCATTACAACTTTAGGTTGATTGGTCATATCATTAGACTTTATCAGATATTCTCCAAGACCTTGTCAAGGACAAAAAGGAGGGAAGGTGCTTCCAAGCACCATCTCTTCTGCTCATGGAGCTTTAACAGCTTATATACAAATCCCTAATCAAGTTTTAATAGCAAAGAACGCTTTGGAAGAATCATCAAGATAAAAGAAAAAGAAGTATTATTTTTAAGATAAAGTTCAAGAAAGCTTATGATTGAGTGAATGGTATTTCTTGGATAAGATTTGTAGGCAAAAGGCTTTGGATTCAATTGGAGAAATATGGGTGAAGAGTTGTTTTTGATCCACTAATTTTGCTATCATAATGAATGCTGTTGCAAAGGATGTAATATTGAGATGGGGCTTTCCCCTTTTTTGTAATTTCATACATCAATGAAATTATTTCTTTAAAAATAAAAAAATAAAAATAAGAGGTAATATTTGCAACTAGGGGATAAAAAAGGGGGAGCCATATATATATATACGAAACCAAGGAGCAATTTCATTATCAAAAGAGAATACAAAAAGAGGAAAGATGATTTCATCTTATCAATGAAAT